ATTGACTTTGAACTATATCATGTTCATCTTCGGGACTAAAAGTAAAAGTTATCAAAATAAAAAAATATATATATAAGAAACAAATTAGATTGAAAGAATCGGTTTGTTTATTTTTAGCTAAAAAGCTTGGTAGGAATTTGCTTAAAGGGCTTCTATTCTCTCTTAATGTAATTTTGACTTAAAAATTGAAGCAATTATATAATATTTCTTAAGTTGCATTCAGTTTTGATGGTGTTCTATTAAATTCAAGGAGAATTGCCTCCTGATGTAAATAATCCTGCTTCTTTTGAATCTTCTTCAGCGTCTACAGGAAGGCAAACTCTAGATTCTCGTCTATAGACATTGATCTTATGATCTTACTTCATATAAGTAATCATCTTCAATTTTTCCTCAATTCTAGGAAAGCGATATCTCGATAATAAATAAATGTCTACCTGAGTGACTCTGATATCAAATATTGCAGAGGTTTTTTTTATATTTTTTTCCGTTTTCGCATTTTACCTTATAGAAGCTTATAACATTGATATAAACATGACACGTATCGTGGTGTTTGATTGACTTGCTTTTACATTCATGTATAATTAGCAGACGTGATTGACAGAAAAGACATTTGTTCATTGAAATGGGCATTAATAATCAGTGTATCTTATAGAAGCTTATAACATTGATATCCATACGACACGTCTCTTAGTCCCGCCCTGTTTGATTGACGTGTGCTTTTACATACATGTATATCATTAGCATAGGCTGTCAGAAAAAAAGACAGTTGCTGTTGAAAGGGGCATTAATAATCAGCGTATCTTTCTATTTAGGAATAAATGTAAGGAGAAGTCTGTTTTACTTTTTTTTTAACCAGAGTCTAAAAATTATTTGATTAAGAGCGTTGAATAGACGCATGGGAGAAATTTGATAAAGATATTAAAAACTATAAAATATATTCTGAAACTATTAAAAAAACTCAGAGTTTCTACAAACATGATAAGTGCACCCTGAGGTGTTTGTTACTTTTAAGTTAAATATGTTTTCTTTTGCCTTCTACTATCTTGCAAATCCTTTTGTAACAAAAAAAGATTATATTTATATCTTCGTTATAGTTTTTTAGTTATCAGACTGATTTATTGCTAGTTTTATGTCATTTTMATTTTATTCCTTTAACGCATTATTTAAATCACTTCCAATGATTTTAATAACAAAAGGAAAAGGTTTTTTTTCTCAAAACGAAAAGAAAACGCATGCTTTTCAAGAACTGCTCATATTTGTCCCATGAATACATATTCATGTAGCTGTTGGATGACTTAGTGTACCATATCTCGCAGCACTTTCGTGTTCAAGTTTGTCGCGCAATAACTTAAAACGCGAGAAACCCTAAAGCTAAAGCTAAACATCAACAATACTGCGCGAAAGGTTGAATTTTTTTGTAGTCTCATATTGTTTTTATCAAACTAAGAATTTTTTACATTTTATGATATTAATCTGATGTCTTTCCATTCAAGGATTATTCTGTCATTTTTAATCCTTATAGCCTCAAATCGTTATAATTATACAAATAATACATTTAAGTCCAAATGTTTTCCAAGACTAAGCCCATGTAAAGCGTCACTTATATCTTTTATGTTGGACAAATAAAAAAAAATTGGTCTGAGTACATCAAAAGAAATGTAAAGGATTTTTGAAGTAGTGCATTTAACAGCTCTTCGTGGGAGTATTATACATCCTTTACTATAGTGACACTTTTTTCAGTCAAATTTTGTGATGGTCCTTAGGTAATTTTTGCAATAAAAGGACCTGAAAAGCATGACCTCTGTTAGAGGATTTTAGAGAGGTTCTTGACAGGTAACCCCCTCTAGATGCATTAAGTGAAGATTCCACTGAAGGCGTGCAAAATCACGATAATCGTAAGATGCTTGATAATTTTTCTTGCTGGTGATATTTTTTCGCATTCTACTTAATATATCGACTTATTGGTATGAATAATTTTAAATAATCTACTAACTCGAACTGAACCTT